TTTGTTGAAAGAAAAGCACATTAAATCAGGAGATGAAGTAATAGATATGTTTTGAAAATCCTGACGAGGACAACTTGGGTTCCTTCAAGAAATTAAAGATATAGCTCCAAGTCAATTCTGCCAAATGGATAATTCATCAAAGTTTTCAATTTACAACTTTGGAAGTTTGTAAGAATTCTTATTAAATGTGCAATTTTGGCTTAAGCGGGCCACTTGGAACAAGCACTCCAGACCTTTCAGCTGCCCACAACACCCCTCCACCCATCTTCCCCTCTGTGGGGTTGGCAGTGCTTTATCTTCTGGCTTGTTTTAAATGGTATTATGAATATAAAATTAAAGAGCCAACTTTAAATGTCTTAGAAATCATAAAAATCTGTTAAAAAAAAAATCCATCTGTGGAAGCGACTGCTTATTACTTAATTCCAATCTAGTCTCTTCTCCCTCCTCAGCTTCCCTTGCTGGAGACAAATGAAGAAGCACTTATCTTTAGTATCAGACACTAATGAAGAACAAAAGACACGTCCAGCCCCAGCCCTTCTCCTGAATGACAGATCAACATATCCAAGTGCCTACTGGACCTCACAACCTAGATATCCCCCAGTGCCTCAAACAAAAGCTACTCGACACGTTCTTGCCTTCATCCCTTCATCTCCAGAATTTCTCATCTCCATTAGTAGCATTATTATCTACAGAAGCAGCCACTCTGGGATCTAAAATATTGTATTTTTTCTGTTGCTCCACACACTCACTCAGCAAGTCTTTTCGATTGGAGCTCCTAAATGTTTCTGAAATCTAGTGTGAAATCTACTGAGCTCTAGACCCACTGCCTTACTTCAAAACCTTCACATAATGAACTAACTACTCACTGCCTTCCAAGTCTCCAATCTAACTTCCACCCCAACTATCTTAGACATTGCCACCAGAACCGCCTTTCTAAAATGTAAATATATGTCACTCCCACCGCTCTGCTCAAAATCCATCAGCAGTCCCCACGTAAAAGAACAAGTCCAAACTTCCTACCATGGCACGTACAGCGGTCCATTACGTGGCCCCTCCTACACGAGTCTCCAGCCACAAGAGAATTATCTGCTTTCCCCCAGTGTGTCTTATTTTCTTACAAAAACCACACTTTTTACATGCTGTTCCCTGACAGGAAAAGAACTTCAACTCCTACGCACTGTGCTTTAATAGTATCCTTCACAGTGTCTTCTCTCAAATCCCCTTGTCCCAGTCTGACTGACAGACAGCCGAGGCCTTTAAGGGGGGTGGTAGATGAAGGTAAAGGGGGTCAAATATACGGTGATGGAAGGAGAACTGACTCTGGGTGGTGAACACACAATGCAATATATAGATATGTATTACAGAATTGTACACCTTAAACCTATGTAACTTTGCTAACCATTGTCACCCCAATAAACTTTAATTAAAAAGTAAATTAATACTGAGTATACGACAACTCTTTTCTCAACATGAAGCTTCTCGAGGGTGGAGATTTTGCCTTTCCCACCTTTGTCTTCAGAGGCAAACACAAAAGGAATTAAAAACTTGCTCAGTGGAAGTGCCACATGTACACTTTGAGATTACAGTGTATGATTTTTATATCTGCAGTTAATAAACTGTTAAGGCAAAGTTTCAATTGTTTTTGTGTTTGTTTTTTTTTAACTTTTAAACAGCCCCACTTCCTATACCTGGAGAAACCAGGGAAGACTCTTCTGAATCGCAGTCAGCATAGGTGCAGGCAGCTCCTTCTCCTGCTGCAACACTAAATGGGGCAGCAGTAAACAATCGATGATCCGGAACAGCAATTTTTGGGCTTTCGAGGTGGCAAAGATCTGTGCCCACGATTTAACAAGGATTCCTAACAAGGAAGAGCAATAACAGCAGTTAAGGATTTAAGGTTTTTTTCTAACTAAAAAATTTTGTCATTTCACTAAAAAATCTATACTTAAAAGCACATAGGAACAAGTTAAAGTAGGCAATAGGAGGAAACATCTTGTCAAGTATTGTATTTCACTAAAGAGACAAATTTCTTTCACCGTTCTGGGCCCAGAAAAACATACACTTCCTGAGAAAATGGCATTTAATATATACACACTCTCACACACAATGTGATTTGGTTACACATTATGTGTATATGTAAACCGAATACTGCAATTAATAAGAGCTCTCTTTGTTTTGGCTGCTAGGAAACTCAAGGGCAACTTAATAATCCAGCTTTAAGAACACTGTAAGGTTATACATTATGCTATTAGGTATGTATTTACTTTTCCCTGGGCTTCATCGTGCTACTCCACATTTATCTTTTTTGATATTCTTATGACTTTATATTTTTATCTTACATACAATTTTATATGCTGTCTCAACCCAGTTTGCAACAAGAAGAGGCCTAACTAAATTTAATTGTTAAAATAGGAAAAAAGGGTTAGCTATAAAACCTTGAAGCAATCATTTAAACTCCCTGAACTTCAGTTTTTGTACCTTTCAATCGTCTAATATAAACAAATAGTGAGTTTAAATTTTAATTCTGAAAGACGAGAAACATATTTCTTTACTACGTGAACTATACTATGGTTTCCTTATTTCTAGGAGTCTGTCATTTGCTACATTTGATGATAGTAAGCTTAACAAATGAGCACCCTTTGTTTAATAAAGCAATTAAAAGCAGTTACATAATTCCCATTAGAGTGTATTACTGCTATTGAAGTCTCCTTTACTGAAAAAACGAATTTAAAAGGAGACCATTAAGTGCTTGTCCAAATAGCACAGTGGTACATGTATCACAGAAACTTTTATATTTTATTTCATCTTAGAAAGCAAAAAAGGTGATAAAATTCAGTCATTTTCATAAAACGAAAAGTTTAAAATTCACGCTCTGAAGGAACAAAAAATATGCTTATAGAAGAGTATATTGATGTTTAAAAAAAAACAAAACCCTACCAATAAACACTTCTAAGAACAAACAGCAACATTAATCTTCTGTTGTAAAAGGAAATACAATAATCAATCATAAAGAAACACAATGCTCACTTAGCAATATTTTAAATAATGCTGGCTTGCTCCTCATTTTTCCAGTAGGTGGAAATCTTGAAAATGACAGCAATGTAAGAAGAACTCACATTCTAACTAACATTAATATAGCCTCAAGAGGAACTGCCATCGTCACTGACATTTGAAATGATTCATTTCACTCTTAGATGTCACACAGGTGTTAACTTACACAGAGCAAGGGCCTTCCAACCAAAAATGCATCATCAACCCTTGTATTTCATCTTCTGCAATAGTTAAAATGCTTTGCTGAACACCTTAAGTTTTATGAGTTCATAGAAGGCAGACATGATACATTTGTTTTACTGCTATAACAGAACCCTACTTTTTCTAAGTTTCAGCAAAGAGCATTTGAGTGTATGTGGTAGTACAAATGCAAGGAAAGAAATTTTTTAAATAAAAACCTTTGGGAAAAGTTTAAATACATCATGTAGCTTTGTAAACAACCAAGTCGTTTTCCTGGCTATAAACTTATTATTTACTGATGAAGCTGAAAATATAGAAAAATTGTGGGGAATTTATTCCCACAATTTGAAGAGATGCACTATAAAAGTTCTTAGGTATTTACTTATTTCTACTGTATGAATACGTTATGCCTTAAAAAAATGAAGATGGGGATCATTACAATACGTATTTTTTAGATGTATAGGAACTTTGCTCATTTAGGAACACTAAAAAATACATTATGTACTATTGGCTAGGTTCATAAAACTAGTAAGTTCCAGAAATACTTATTTAGTACATGCCATCTCCTATATTGGAGAAGCTCTTCAACTGATGTGTCCCCAGATGTAGCCCCAGTTTCCAATCCAGTGCCTGATATACACATGAACACACACACACACACACACACACACACACACACAGAGTAAATAATGTTTTGATTTGTTCAAAATATAACATTAACAACAGGAATAAAGAGTTCAAAAACTATGGCCACTACCATGAGTAGATTTAAAATTTAGATAAGACATGCTAAGTACACAAATTATTATAACAAACTAACTACAAAAATGCCAAAAGGACAGATGAAGCACAATCAGGGGGATCAAGCCTACTTGGGAGTGTAAGAAAGGTGAGACATTGGGCTGGGCACTGAAGGGGCCTGGGTAGAATTTCAATTACAAAGACAAAAGGGGAAGACTCCCTGAGGAGAGAAGGATGATCAAAAGGAAAGGCATGGAAACAGACAAGCAAAAGACATAAAGAATGAGAAAAAACAAAAGAATGATACAAATAGGAAAGCTGAAATATCACTGATGGATCAATCCTGCTTTCTCAGAAATTACTGAGCTACAAATAAGACCCCAGAGGTGTCCCCAGCTAGGCACTGGCAAGGTAAAGAAAGCACAAAATTTCAGTGAATAACCCTCTTTCTCTCAAGTGGATTATGATACCCTAACCCTGCACCCTTAAATAGGCTCAAACTCTAAAGTTTATATCTGCTCTTTCTCCATTTTGTTCTAAACCTTTTACATAATAGAAGACAATAAGTTATCTGTCCCTAATTTCTAATGAATTAAATGAGCAACACTGTAGCAGTATACTCTATTCCCAATCTCTGAGATATAGACAAAAGGAAAGAATATAGATCTACTGGCCATCAAATCAAATATCAACCATTTAACAAAACAAGCAAGGCCCTCAGTTCTTCAAAAGGACACTTTTGCCCTGGGTCAACATATCACCAATCCAAAAATGATTTTGCAGTTCCTGATAAGACTCTCATATATTTTGTAAAATAAAGATATACCCTGAAATCATACATTTAGCTTGGCAGACTAATAAAGTATAAGCCTAAAAGCCGAAATACTTACTAATCTAGATTTTACTATGTTATTTATAATAAATTTTCACTTACATTTTTTCTAAAGTTAAGATGCCTGAATTGCTACTATAGCTTTCACTACATTCTAAATCATCCATATTTACAAATTTTCTCATTCTCCTTTATCTTTCACAACAAAGATAAAAAGGTTTCAGACAGCCCAGGTTTATTTATATGTTTATAAGATCAAAGGGAACAGATAGAAGGTTTTGGCCACCAAGAAATAAAAATAAAAAACTTAAATTCTGTATCAAGACTTCTAAGGAAATCCTTCTCATTTCCCTTTATCCAGTTCCTATTTTTGGTTAGCAACATGATTTTAGTGAACAAAGGTATTCAAATTACCGACTTCCTAAAGAAGGATGAACTCTGGTGTTACAGAATAGGCACAGAAAAAGATTTCTTTTTCAAAGAAGAAAACATAGTGTTTTGAGATACAAGATTTGAAGCATAAATATCTTTAATGCTGTAATAAATTCTTTACTGACTTCCTTCATACAGAGCAAACCATAAAAATAAAAGTAATAGTTTTCTGATATTTTAAATTCTAACAAAGCATAGATAAGCATTTTAAAAAGTCCATTTTAAGCATTTTAATTATCCAGGTATTCACAATGTGAATGATTGACAAAAGACTATTGATAGTAAATTAGTGAGGACATATTTTCTGTATTGATCATAATTAATTTCAAGATTAACACAAGCCTAACAAGAAAGGTTCTGAAGGAAGGTGGGGCAAGACGGAGGTACACTTAGAAGCCAACACGAATTATTTTTAAGTTAAGTCACTGTCTTTCAGATTATTCTTATGAGTGTATGGAGAATAGTGATGTAGCCAGTGTATTAGTATATTCCTATCCATCATGATACTATAGACTCAAACTCAGAAAATTTTAATAATATCAGAAATACATACCCATCACACTATACGTCAGGTGCAGCCCTGCACTTGAAATTTTTTTTCCTAAGTAAGGTTTTATATATTTTAATATTTCACCAAGGTATTCTAAAGACTTTGTGACCATGGCAGATTTATCAGAAAGTTGCTGCAGGCTCCCGTAAGTTACACCAACAGCCTATAAATAAGGAAAATCATGATTTAGCTCTCCAAGTTTCATACAATACAGACTTTGAAAAATAAAGATTAATTTCTCACTCTCTCTCTCTCTCTCTCTCTCTCTCCACACACACATACACAAACACACATACCCCTTACATTTAAGCCCACATCCTTAACTTTCCAATAAATATTCACAGCAATTAAAATGCAACTAAAAATAATTTTTCCTTTTAAAATTAAAATAAAGGTTAAAATCAGAATAAAAAATCAATTCACCAAAAATTATCCATACAAGATCTGACTCAGCCAATTATTAGTAAAAGATACATGAAGCTGATATAAAAAAAATAATAAAAGCTTATAACCAAATCATATCAAGACTTCCAAATATCCTAGTACACAACTGGGAATTCAAAATCCTCAAATTTCTACAAGGAAGACCTACAAGTGAGGTTACCAAATCCTTACTAGTTAAGACCTCTATAAAGTTCAGCTTTATGATATGAATTGATTTTTTTCCCCCAGAATTTTCTTTATGCACCATGAGATGCCATCCTAGTTTTCTTAGAGGAAAAAAGGAGGAGGCATCAAGAGTAGAAATGGCAAAATGGGGAGATGGTGGAGAGAAATGTAAGATGAGACTGTAAGGAGAACAGTGAAGTGGGAAGAAGAGGAAAGGAAATAAATGAAAGAATAAGTTGAGGAAGGGTGATAATAAGCAAGAGGTGAGAAATCACAAAAGGAATCAAGATAAGACTGGCTAGAGATGGGTTAGAAGGTTTGAGAAGAGTGGTCAAGTTTTAAAACCATTGCTGGGAACTTATGGTGGATTTTCATGACCTAAACTGGACACCATGGCATCAATATACAATTATGCAATTTTTATTCCGCTGTTCTCAGCATATAAGTCAAAGGAGAGAAAGTAAGTGGTTGCATCAAACCAAGGTTGGGGGTCAAAACACAAGGTAGGTGTGATCAAAACACAAAGGATGGATGATTATGAGTGTGTCAGTAAGGAGAGTTAAAGTTAGCCCCCCAAGGGGTATAATTAAGGGGGATAGAGAATGAAGTGAGATCTTGAGAGGATGTTGCACTTGGAGAAAAGGGAGTGGCAGGTCATAATGATGTCATTCAAAGAGCTGGAGGGACAGGTGGTAATAGTCAAATAGCTTTTGGATGCTCCAAGTGAAGCCATGGCTCAAGGATTAGTTATGGGAGTGGGCAGATGAAGTAGAGCTAAAGTAAGGATCACTGAAAGATTAGTGGAGAAGGTTTGAAATGAAGGCTTAAGATAAATCATCCGAGGTGATATTAAAGTTAGCCATGTTGATAGTAAAATGTGGAATGGAGGAAAAGATAAGAAACTTAGTGAACTTGAGTGACTGACTATGGGGTGGACAGATGAGAACAAGAAGAGATATACTTGATGAATCCTCTTTTTTAAAAATTAAATTTACTGAGGTGACTCTGGGTGGTGAGCATACAATGTGATATATAGATGATGTATTATAGAGTTGTACAGATGAATCCTCTTTTTGATTTAGCATTCTGCTATTGGTTCTCTATACTTCTTTCCTTAGACCATAAGTTCTCGAAGTTTTTGTCTAAGTTACTTTCTATATACTTAAAAATTGAGCATCTTAAAAGGGCTTCTTATTATTTAGGTTATGTCTATTGATATTTACCATATTAGAAATTAAGAGAAAATTTTAAATTATCAGCTCATTTAAAAATAATAAATATTATATATTAACATAAGTAATATATTTTTGGTGGAAAACAACTATTTTCCAAAACAAAAAAAGAATTTAATGAGTAGTGGCTTTTTAAAACATTTTTGCAAATCTCTTTAATATCTGGCTTAATTAAAGAGCTAGATTCTCATATCTGCTTCTGTATATGATCGCTTGCAATATGTTGCAGATGAAAACAATTCAGTCTCACAATATGTGTAGCTGAAAGAGGAAGAAGTATTTTAATAGATTTTTCAGATAACTGTGGAAGTTGCTCTTTGATATTACACCAAAGCTTGACAAGTAGCATTTCTTAAAGG